AGGGTCACTTTTATCGGGGGTCAGATTAAAGGGGGGCAGATACCACCCAACTCACACACTACCAGCCAGCCGACATGGCACCCACTGCACAGTGCCACCCCGTGTGCGCGAAGCACCCTGCTTGCAGAGTGCCACCCAGCACAAACTTTGTGACAAGACTTGAGAGGGAGGGATAGAATACGCGGGAGCTTTATGGCGCAAGTGAAATACCACTTTTAACGTTATTTTATATTTATTTCAAAAAAAAGTAAGGCAGCCGCTGCACAAAAGTAATGCAGCCGCTGCACAGTACCACCTATAAAAAGCATCCAGTGCACAGAACCGCCCAGAGTGCACAAAGCACACGCAACTTGGACAGAGCCACCCAGCACAAACTCTGTGAACTGACTTGAGAGCCGGCACAAGTGAAATACCAGTACTTTTACGTTGTAACATTATTTTATTCCCTTTTTTTTTTCGGGAATCTGCCAGGCGGTCACAAAAAGAGTTTGAAATGTCACTTTTTTTGGGCAAAAAGAAACAGTTTCAAATCGCACTTCGGGCAATGTATACAAGCTTCCTTTTGGGGTCAGGTAGGGTTGAGTGGGGGTGTGTTAAGTTTGGGGGAATGCCCAAAGTGTAATTTCAAACTGTGTTTTTGCGACTGGCAACTACAGTCTTCCCCCGAACACAACGCACCCTCATTATGCCTGCATCCAACCGGAAAGATGGCTTGTATACATTCAGAATCAGGGTGCGTTATGTTCGGGGGAAGACGGTAGTACAAGCAGAGATCACAACCCAGTGGCTTCCCAAAAAAAAAAAAAAAAAAAAAAAAACAGTGGCAGGCGCCCACCTGCAGGTAGGGAGCAGCCCCCGCATGTTCTCTCAAATGAGTTTTGTGCATACCAGGAAGGACATTCCCGAAATAATCACTCGATTCTGTGAAAACAACTTGGGAGGAAGGAGGGGGGGATGGATGGCAAGGGTATCTTGATCAGGGGATAACCCCCTTCAGGAGGGAGGGATGGCAGGGGGAGATACACTCAGGCACTACAAGCTTTTCTTTCGGAATTGGACAGCAATAGACCCCAGCATCCCCCTAAGACCAGTGGCAGATTTCCCGGACCCCTTCTCCCCCCCCCACATTATCACATGTGGAAGTACACCAAGAGGATGGCTAAGCCCAGGTTTCGCAAGTAGTTTAATTTCCCTTCCCAGGGATTCTCAGAGGTCATGTCCCTTAAAAGTGCTTCGCATAGAGTATGGGACGCTGAGCCCGGTTCTCAGCCGTTGCTTGTGTTTTCTTCCCATTCTCAGAGATTCTCAGAGGTCATGTCCCTTAAACAATGTGCTTCGCATAGAGTATGGGACGCTGAGCCCAGTTCTCAGCCTTGCTTGTGTTTTCTTCTCAAATTTCGAGGTCGCGGTAGGCAGACAGCGGCCTGAAGGGACGCACTGGTGCCCCCGAGTGTCCCCGGCTGGCGCCTAGCTGTGCAATAGAGCATGAACAAGGGAAGCTGGACATGGTTTCCAGCAGCAGTGAACCACCCCAATTCTATTTATTCATAAGGGATGCTGGGCCCGGTTCCCAGCACGTGAAAAAAAGATGTATTCGAGGGACGCTGGACCCGGTTTCGAGCAGGTGATGCTCCCCACCAATTGATGGAGCGGCCCGCCCAAAAAAAAAAGAAAAGAAGAAGTTTACCCCTTACTTTATTTTAAAAAAAGAGAAAGGCACCCGCTGCACAGTACCACCTATAGAAGGCATCCAGTGCGCAGTGCCGCCCAGTCCACGAGCCACACCCAGCACACAAAGGAGCTATACCTTCTTCCCCCAAATCAACCTACGGTCATTATAGCTTTATTTGCGGTAGCTTCCCCCAAATACAACATGCCATCATTATAGCTGTATTTGTGGCACCTGTCAGTCTAGATACAGCTATAATGACCAAATATGTTTGTATCCGGCAGAAGAAGGTAGCCTACAAAGTACCACCCCGTGCACATTGAACCCAGCCCACATTGTAGCGCCCAGTGTACACCCCACCTAGAACCCCAGTGGTTGCATGCACTTGCTTTCTAGTGGGTACTCTGGGTGACGAGCTGCCATATTCCCGTAAGCCGCCATGCTACTGTGTGTGCTGGCTAGGTGATATGTGCTACTCTGTGTGCTGGCTGGCTGGCTGTTACCTTCCTCCCCCCGAAGTGCTGGCTAGGTGATACATGCTACTCTGTGTGCTGGCTGGCTGGCTGGCTGTTACCTTCCTCCCCCCAAACACAACGCCCCCTGATAACAAATGTATACGAGCTATCTTTCCGGTCCAGTGCATCCAAAACGAGGGTGCGTTGTGTCCGCGGAAGACGGTATTCAATCCGGACTTCTATAGCCCAATCCGGACTTGTGCAGCCCCTATGTTCGAGTAAGCTGCCATGCTACTGTGTGTTGCGCTGGCTGGGTGCTATGTGCTACTCTGTGTGCATGCTGGCTGGCTGCTACCATCTTCTCCCAAAAAAAAGCGCGCCCTGATAACGAATGTATACAAGCTATCTTTCTGGTCAGATACAGCCAAAATGCGGCTCTGTTGTGTTCGGGGGAAGATGGAAGTCACTCCGGACTTCAGCGCCCCCTGTTTTCGGGAAAGCTGCCATGCTACTGTGTGTGTGGTGGCTGGATGCTATGTGCTACTCTGTGTGCATGGTGTCATGCTGCTAATCACTCCCAACTTGTGCACCCCCTGCACCCCTTCTCCCTGCCATATATGGAGCAGACAAGCACACCCCACTGCATTCAATCGCCTAACAAAACCAGAAACAAACGAAAGGAAAAGAGAAAGCTTTTTTTTTTTCTTTTTTTTTTTTTTCCCGAGTACCGTTCTTCGATTTATGCATATCTTCCTTGCACAGGGGCCATGCTAATCTTCTCTGTATGATTGCAATTTCAGCAGACATCCCACAGGCATTCTTACTTGAAACATACTAACACTAGGACTTTTTCCACTTGTCCGTAGGCGTAATACAGGTTAGGTGCACCATCTCGAGATCGGAAACGCAGTCCGGGGAAGTAGTAATGTGACTATACCCTTAAACCACCAGTACCTCCGAGCCTGTTTTTGCCGACCCTGATTTATAGTGCGCACCGAATTTGCCGAGCCTGTGTCCCGCGGTACCTCCGACTCTGTTTCTGTTTTTATTTTTGTTTTTGAAAACGGTAACGTTTCCACTTGTGGCCTTGTCGTCCTCCGCTACGGTCCAACGAACGGACACGTCTATGGGCGGGATCCCTGTGTTTGTGGAATGTTTCGTGGCCGTTTGTTTTTTCCAATTTTTGTAGATTTGTTTTTTGCAGGCCCCGACCGGCGTGTCGCTTCGCCGGCGACCGGTAGCGTGGAGTGCAGGCCGGTGGACGTCCGCACGTTGCCCGATGGAGGGACACCACCATTTGCCATCGCCGCTGTCCCGACCTCTCTTTTTTTTTTTTTGTGTGTGTGTGTGTGTGTGTGTGTGTGTGTGTGTGTGTGTGTGTGTGTGTCTTATCAATGCCCTGCATTGACCCAATCGACGATTGGCTGTGGAAAGTGCGTGGCAGAAATCTCTCTCTCTCTCTCTCTCTCTCTCTCTCTGGCCATTCGTAATTTCGTCGTCGTCGTGTATATAAGTTAGTTTTCGTTGTCATGGATGTCAACTTCAGCTTTGAAACGACAAGTACGACGTTGAATGTAACATCCATCGCCACGACTATCGGTTAGTCTCTCTCTCTCTCTCTCACACACACACACACACACACACACACACACACACACACATATATATATATATATATATATATGTAAAATGTACGTCTTGTCCCGTCATTTCGCCTGTAGTTGCCGGGGGCGGTGTTTGGATGTTGGACTTATCATCTAGGATTGTCATTACAATTTCCTTTGCAGCCCCCTGTTCTGTTTTGTTTGGGCTGTTTCCTTCGTCTTTTATTTTGCCTCTTTGCCTTTTGGATGTGTGCAAGTGGGTCGATATGAGACACGGGGGTGGGGGCAGCCGCCGCTCAACCTACATCGACGTGGGCGGCCTTGTACGCAAGGGGTTCTGAACAGGGGGAGTTGTAAGGAAGAAGATGAAAAAAGATTCGATATATTTTTTTTTTTGCTTTTGTTTGTTTTTTCACTTTTACGCTCTTATATGCATGTGATGATATATATGTGAGGAGAGACAGAGAGAGAGAGAGAGAGAGAGAGAGAGAGAGAGAGAGAGAGAGAGTAGCGGACACTCTCCTTGGTGGCAACGTCGGGGAGGGAGAGAGTAGGGACACTCTCCATTGGCGGCAACGTCAGGGAGAGAGAGAGAGAGAGAGAGAGAGAGAGAGAGAGAGAGAGAGAGAGAGAGAGAGAGAGAGACAGAAAGAGGCGATGGCGGCCCGCACAGAACCCTACTGCGGGACGTCCGCAGGCGACGGTTGTTCGCGCGTCGAGGCGAGGTGCTCCCCCGCAAAGCCGGTCGTCCGTCAGCAACAACCCACCGGCGACCGCACAGCACCGACCGGCCCACTGCCAGGCACCAACCCGTCGGCGGCGGGACCCGGTAGCGTCTCCACAACGCGGCCACTGTCCAGGAACAAAAAAACGTCCGACCACAAAAAAAAAATTGCAAAATACATTAAAAAATGCAAAATCGGAAATGGTCCCCACTGTTGGGAATCGCTGCTGAGCCTCTGCCTACCCCCGAAAACTTCGGGTATTGGCCAGCATCTCGTAATTTCCCAACACTAGGGGAGGTACTGGTGGTATTAAAAAAAAAAAAAAAAAAAAAAAAAAAAAAAAAAAAAAAAAAAAAAAAAAAAAGAAGCACACAAAGTAAGAGAGAACAAAAGAATTACTCAGAAGCCAGAGATTGAGGGAGGGGGAAGAAGAGTGGCAGGGGACGGGGAAGGGAGCAAGAAGATAGAGGAGCATTCCATTGCTGTGAGCACATTCCATTGCTGTGAGCTCATTCCATTGCTGCCATGCTCTTCCTCCGTCTTCGAGTTATTAATTGCCAGTCCGAAGTAGATCCACAAAGAAAATCAAGTCCAAAGTGTCATATCCAATTATGAAGTCAGCTAGTCCTAAGCAATAAACAAAAGCAAGAAGATAGAGGAGCATTCCATTGCTGTGAGCGCATTCCATTGCCGCCGTGCTCTTCCTCCGTCGTCGAGTTATTATTTACCAGTCCGAAGTAGATCCACAAAAGAAATCAAGTCCAAAGTGTCATATCCAATTATGAAGTCAGCAAGTCCTAAGAACGCCTATCACCCTCTAAGCCAAACGTAAAATTATAAAAATAAAATAAAATAGAATGGCCAGGCTCAAACAAAGTTTAAGCACAGATTGTTGGGAGGGTTGGGAGGGTTGGGAGGATGGGAACAGAGGACTCGCTCCAAGGGTTGGAAAAAGCTCAAAAACAGATCGAGGGAGGTCTAATGGAAGAAGACTGGAATGCAGAATTGAAAAGGAGGTTGTGACTAAAGATGTGAAATGCAGGATGAGGACTGGCTCTAGTACATGGGATTGTCCCACAAATTGTCCCAGGAATGGTCCCAGGAATGGTCCCACTCCCAGGAATAGTCCCACTCACAGGAATGGTCCCAGGGATGGTCCCAGGAATGGTGCCAGGAATGGTCCCACTCACAGGAATGGTCCCAGGAATGGTCCGAGGGATGGTCCCAGGAATGGTCCCAGGAGGGGAACAAAGGAAAGAAAGAAGTGGCAGAAAGAAGAAGGAAGGTGATATGAAAAGGAAGGACAACCTAGAACAAAGAAGCTATACATTTTGTGTTCCTATGCTCGCTCGCCTATTGACATTCTGCATGGTGCGGGTTTTTCCATCCTCCTTGGGCCATACTCACACCTCCGGCTTTGTTTTTGACAGCATTTGGTTCAAATCGCGGTCAGATTTGGCTCATAAATTCGCAGTGCATGTGGCCTTCTAAAGAAGCATTACATTTTATAATATATATATATATATATATACTTGAAACAGCTGCGCCTAAGTCATGGTTTGAGTTTCGCATAGGCAAAAAAAAACACTGAAGGGCATTTTTCTTGCGGCCGCAGTTTGGAATAAGCAAAAACAGCAACCGTTTTCAAACTCAGGCCCTCTGCACGTCGCAGCCCGCCTCCACCAGGCTTACTAGAAAATGCGGTGCCGCGTTTATTGCATTTTCAAACTTGGCGCGCATAAGTGGCCCTAGGCTTACTAGAAAATGCGGTGCCGCGTTTATTGCATTTTCAAACTTGGCGCGCATAAGTGGCCCTCCGGTACGTGTTTTTTTCTGCCACTCGGCCACCTACCAGTAGTTGGCTCTATACCTGTAGTTGGCTCTATATATTTTATAATATCATAGAATCGGACCCCAAACCACCGGGCGTAGACCATACTACATTGCCAATATCCTTTCCCCTTTTTTTTTTTTTTTTTTTTTTTGAAGCTATATATTATTCTCTCAATTTCACCTCACCCTACCACAATTTTTTTTAATTATTATTTTGTTTTTACCTACCACTACTCCTAATTGTAGGCATACGGGGAGCCCCGTAGCAGCCAGAACTGTGTTCACGAGAGAACATGCAGGGGCTGCTCCCAACCTGCAGGTGGGCGATACCGGCCAGGGGACAGCCGGTAGGTAGCATCAGGAACCATGCCAACAAGACCAATCCCTGTGCCTCCCCCCCCCTCAGGTGGTGGTCCCCCCCCCCAGGAATATCAGCAGACTCTGCTAAATGCCGATGGGGCGGGGGGGAGAGGGGATCCAGTGGTCTATCTCTACACGTAGATGGTGCCAAGCATGCCCAGGAAGGTACATGAGGGCAATGGGGATTGAACCCACGGCCTCCTGAATGCCACTTGCGAGCCTTACCAACTGAGTTACAGTTGTATTGGTTTATTTTTACATGCTCTCCAAAATACCGCCTTAGTCTATTTTCACCCTCCCTCCTCTCCCCCACCCCACTCCTCTTTCCCGCCAGCCCCTCCCAAGGCTCTGGCTCCATCCTCATGGTCTCACGGATAGAAACTCGACAAAACAACTGCAATGAATTGCCCCCCTGGTCCGGCCCCCCTAAACAAACCCGGCCTCCATGCTCCTGGCCTCCTCGCGGATAGACCTGAAGAGAACCGATGACAG